AATATTGATCTTTAAAAAAAGGAATAGGCAGCTAACGTCATTATAATCAATTGTAACCAATTTTAAGATCTACAAGTGAATAAAAATGAATTAAGACCTTATATTACTCAGCATAAAAATAAGATCGAAAACAATGAAAACAGGTTAATAATATTTCTATGACAATGGTTTGCGCCAACTCAACGCTCGTCAGCAATCTGAATACAGAGTAGTGTAGCGAGACGTTGGCAGTTATAGGAGGTTGCCAGATTGAATAGATTTCGCACAATCGGGATGACCGCCATTACCCACTGACCGGTATTTGCACATTTTACCCTAATATGTAATCGGTTTTTGGGGTTTAAAAGTGTTTCATTTAAGTTTTGAATGTCCTAAAGAACTCAGTCACGTTAAATTCTACATATAATATATAATATGTAGAATACCTACGTATAATAATAAAAACCCCATGGGCATACATCACAGAACGTTTTCGGAATAACTATTCCATCATCAGTGCTATCTGTTGTTTGATTAACTTTGAGTTATACAGTTAACATTTTTGATAATTAAAGTGTCTGTGTACTTGTTGATAGAAACTTCAGTATAGTGACACTTGCACTAGACCACTTTTAAACTGACATATTTTGATGTTGTCTGCCAGATTCGATACAAGTTGTGCCATCTCTGTTTCAGTAGATATAATTAGGGGTTGGGCGAGCTTTATTTTGAAATATACTTATAAGGTATTAACCATTATTATTCTGTTATTTACCATTCCTTTCCATTTGACAAATTACTATTATCATTTTTTTTTGACTAAAAGTAAAAGTTAAGACTAAAAACTTTTAATTTTTTTTTAACTTTTACTTTTTGTAGTTGCTAAGCGGGTTATGTTTTTCAAAACCGACGGGTGCCTTACTTGCATCGCCCTTGTAGACAGTAACCATGCATTAAGTTAAAAAATGTGGTGTTTGTGCCCTCAGGATATATAATTCTAATTATTTTTGTATGTTTACGTATTATATGTATGTTTGTTTAAGTAGTGTGTGTTGTATATGTATTATGTATAATTGTAGATGATGTGTCTCCGACTTTATACTGATATATTCTTGTTTCTGACTTCTTCTTTTAGTATTGCCAACTAGAGCCTGCTATATTTTGCTGATGTGTTGGCTACACATTTTTCTTTATTAAGTTAGATGATAGCTGCTTCTTTGATTTTTCTCTTTTCCATGTTTTTTTATTTCATTGCTGCGTATGTATTGATGCATTTTTCATTCTAGTCTATGCTCATTTTCCCAGGCATGTTTATTCATCTGTAATTTTCGAAGTCTGTTTTTAATGTATATTTCATGCTTGTTTATCCTGATACTTAGTGGTCTTGCGGTTCGTCCCACATGGAAATTGTTGCATTCACAGGATATCTTATAGATGCAGTTCTTTGATTACTCTTGTGTGTTGGTAGGTTTGGATTTGGACACGATAGATCTTGATGTACTGGTTGTTTTAATATTGTTGTTGTGATATTGTATTTATTTACTACCCTTTTTACTTTTTCTGATAAAGTCCTTTGCATATGGTATTTCTGTAATCTTTTAATTACTTCTTGGGAAATTCCTTGTATATAAATGACAATGGGTAATCAATTATAATTAAAACCATTGTTAGCATATTTTTTTCTTCCTGAAATGCATTTTTATTAGAGCACTTGTTTTGGTCTCTATCATAATATAATGATTTGATAATTCCTGTTTTAATTATTACGTTGTGGTTTAAGTGGTAATTTTAATATCTTTTTAGTACAAATAATCATGGCTTAATCCCATATAATCATAAACATAATATTTCACTTTAACAAAGTATAAACAAATTTAAGCCCATTAAAAAATCTACCTTTTTTACGAGTCACCCTTTAGCGTGATAATTTGTTAAATATTTGTACTGTGATTGTTATTTTGTAGTATGTACTTGTATGTATTATTTTTATCAGTATACGTTACTAAATAATCTATTTATTGCTGGCAAAGGGAAATACCCGTTAAATAAATAAATATATTAGGTCATTGTATCACATATTTTGAATTTAAAAATTCATTTAATTTTTTATCCATTTTAAGAAATAAACTTAAAACTAGAACTTAAACTTAAACATAAAAATCTACATCCGAAATGTTATGATAGAATGTTATTGGGTTTAATTTATATGTTAATATTTTACCACCTTTAAAGAAACATAACAAAATCATAAGACCAAAACTTATTAGCTTTATTATTTGTATTTTCTTCTTCTATGATTATATTGCTGTTATACTTTATTATACTTCTATGTCTACTTCTATACACCTATATATATATATATATATATATATATATATATATATATATATATATATATATATATAATATATAATATATATATATATAATATATATATATTATATATATAATATATATATATATATATATATATATAATATATATATATATATAAATTAATGTTTTGACCACAGTTAACAAAGGAATGGTGTGTTTGTTTAACACCTTTATTCTTCACTCTACATTCGTAAGTTAATTTTCCATGTTTTTGTATAATATTACCTACTATCATTGTATATTTTTTAGATTTGAACTGATGAAGCTTGTGAACACCACAAGCGAAACGTCTTCAAATATAAGAATGGAACTGTGATTTCCTTGTATTATTTCTCCTTTGACCGATATCCTCGTTGATCAAAAGAATTTTCTTTTGAAACTTACTGCATATATATATATATATATATATATATATATATATATATATATATATATATATACATACATATATACATATGTATATACATATATACATAAATACATCAGATAATTTTAAGGCGCTTTTTTGTTTTAAAAAACAAAAACTGGTGCAATTATTTACCCTTCAAATTTGAATCGGTTACATTAATTGCCAATTTCTAGTACCGTTCATAGGCGTCCGTTTTGGGTAGGTGAACAGTTATATTAACTCATAACTTTTTTGTCTTTAACTTTTAAGCATTTGTTATACTAGATTATTAAATTTTTAGATATTCTAGTACTAAAAGGTACCCTGTAGTTTGTAAAATACACCGTTTTCTAAAAAAATCGATTTCAAAATTGTTCGTATTTTCATCATGAAGGTTAGGTTAATAGGTAGCTTAATTAATTTTATATATTACCTTTTGTTTCAATAGATACGGCACACAATTAGTAAAAAAAGTTTGGGAAAGGAAGCAAAAAATCAAGTTGAAACAAAATTTTATTTAAAGGTTTCTTAAAACAAACTTTTTATTACTATGAAAAAAAAAAAAAATACGAGTAACACAAAAGAACGAGTATCAAAGGTAGATAGTAACAAAAGATGCTGAATGTGATTAAGTTATGTGGTTAAGTGTGCGTACATTACTGGTAAAGTTGGCCGGATAGCCGTCATGTAGAAGCCATAAGTTTTGTCAAATATTTAAAGGCACATCATTTAGCAAATCGGGCATAATATTTTGCGAGAAATGTAAATAATCAGCACCATTTAAACGAGCGGGCAATTTCACGGGTCTAAGTAGATAATCGTCACCTATTCCTATCCAGATGTTTATGTTAAACCTATGCTGATACTTAAATTCTTTAACAGCGTGGGAATTGTCACCAACGTACGAATAATAATGTGCATTATGTACATTAAAAATTTCATTTTTTGTGCATGTCGTCGCAATAAAATGTAAAAAAATCTTTATTTTGATTTTTCCAATTTTGTAGCCATATAGCGAGTTTTTCATGAGCAGAATAATCGCCTTGTACTTAATTTGATTTTTCCTTCTTTTTTAGTGCTAGTTTCTTTGTTAAATAAAAAAGATATAAATTTTCGTTGAGTAAAATACTACCTGCGGAAGATTTTGAAATTGTGGAGTACATGGCAGATAGTATTTGAACGCTAATTTCTAAATTTTCCTCAACTTTCATTAAAATAACATCTTCATGTACTGCTGTTACATCATTATGTCGCCCTGTTTCGTATTTTTTTTTGAACTCTGAACGTGTTTTTCTTAATCGGGAGTTTTTTAGCGTATCTTCGTTACTGCTTGAGTGGTACACCTTGTTTTGCAATAAACTAAATGCATATCAGCATATTCCTCATAAGTAAAAACCATTTTTGTTAATTTAAAATTGTGTTTGAATGCCACAAATTAAAAACTAAATGAGAAACTTGAAAATTAAAATTTTCGAGTCGATTTTTCCCAAAAACGGTGTATTCTACCGGCTTAAAAAATAGTACCTTTTAGTACTAGTATACCTGAAAATCTGATAATCTAGTATCACAAATGCTTAAAAGGTAAAAACAAAAAGTTATGCGTTAAAATAACCACTGACCTATCCAAAACGGACGCCTATGACCGATACCAGAAATTAGCAACTAACGGAATCGATTCAACTCTGGTGGAAAAATAATCGTACCTGTTTTTGTTTTTCTACATAGAAGCATTCTAGAGGTATTTAAAAAAGAAGTTTCTGGACATCACGTCAAAAAAACGCGATCGCGAAATATGTAGATTAATAGACTAGGGTGGATCTGCTTTAAGGTGGGTGTGAGAGATGCCATTTGGATTTTTTAGAGAAAAAGTTGTGTAATAATTTAATAAGTAATAATAGTAATAATAATTGACTTATCCTCTCTCTTAAATAGGTCGGGAACATCGAATTTTTTGTACTTTTCTTACTTATAACTTTAATACGATTCATTTTGGAGCAAAGATGTAATAAAATAAAATACGCTTGAGACGCTTGAGTACGAGAATAGAAATCTCATGTTCCTGTATTTAAAGATTAATCTTAAAATTATAAAAAACAATGTTTTAACTTAAGCATCTAAACAACTAGTAACTATATTTGACTTTTTGTCAGAAAGAACTTTTGATCTAGAAATTGCATAGAAAAATGTATATGAGGTTCAGTCGAATATAACTACATATTAACAAATTAATGATCCTTTTATTAACTACTTACCACATCTGGTGTAATTTCTTTGTGTATGCTCATATCCCCCATTAACATTTTACAGCTCCCTTTATTGTCAAACACTATGATACATTGAGCAGTATTCTTCGTTTGACTTATTTTAGTGCAATGTTTACTGGTATTTGGAATCGAAGATTTTATTTGAACTCCATGAAAGTCGTTTCCAATCATGGTTAAAAAATTGGGCGAATAGCCAAGTTTGTCCATAGCTTCACACATATTTCTACCAACCCCTCCAGGAGAATAGGCGAATTTTGAAGGATAAAGTCGTCCATCAAGCTGAAAAATAAATGATTATTGTTAATAGTAATATTTTTTGTCAACAAGAGATTTCGAGTAACATTTAAACTATTTTTGCATTATTGCCGACAGAAAACAATATTGTATGATTGTTCTTTATATATGTGATACTTTTTTCAAAATCGAATAAATGCGTTATAATTAATTAGAGAAGATGTAGTCAGTTAATAAATATCAGTTATAAGTATTATAAAGCTACGAAGAACAACAGCGGATGGAGTAGATGAGGTTCTACCCAATGGTCCTGAAGGCGGACGAAAGACCTAAAAGACAATCGGTATATGGGAAGAAGACTTTGAGAAATAATTATCCGGCACTCCAGGTAGGGGCTTTAGACATTACCCCAATACTTGGTAACGAATCGTAGAATAAAGAAAATACTTAATGAAAAACTTACAGCGACCACAGCAACAGAATAAGACAATGAATTTTATAACATGGAGCGTATCGGTTGGGGAAGTAAAATGAAAGACTTTACTAAAGGACTAAAAAAACAAAAAATATCGATATCTGTCATTACAAAAATAAAAAAAAAGACAAAGGAATCACACTAACTGGAAAGTTTGTCCACATTTTTAGCGGCGTACCAAAAGACAAGTGAGTGTTCAAGAAGGTATCTATACTTGTTGACCAAAGACTACAAAACAAAATAATAAATTAGGAAGCATTTAATAAAAGGATTGTAACTGTTAATGTAAACATCTACGGACACAAAATTATTTTATTAGGCGTATATGCCCTCAATTACAATTAGTACAAGAAAAAGATACGTTCTGCCAACAACTAGTGAGTTGTTGTGGAATAAATAGTAATGATGGACAACCTGAGAGTGAGAACTGGAAGAACACAAAATAATCCAGTAATAGGTAACTGCGGCAAAAAAGTGACAAATAATAAAGGAAATAGATATATAAACCTAGATCCACAATTTGATCTGAAATCAGGAATCTCTACAAAAATATTTATATACAGGGTGATCCTTAAGTAATTGTACAAAAAGAAACCGCAGATTCTACATTTTAAAATATTACGATTTAATACTTAATTAGTAACTTAATTTAATAAAATGTTGATAGTAAAAAAGATACAGGGTGTTAAAGTAGAAATTTAAAATTTTATTTTTCACTATAATTTTCATTATAGTAAACATTTATGTATAAAAATTTACAGCTGGGTACTATTGAATATCAGGAATTATAATTTGGTGCATACTTTGATATAGCTAATAGAGGGCGCCACATATGCCACGTACGTGGTATACATTTGCACTTAACTTTTTTGTTCTTCATGCTAACGGTATTTTTAATAAAAAATATTAAAGATACATTATTTAAACAAAAAAAAAGTATACTTGTTAATAACTTTAAAACTCAACAGTTTTCGAGATAATCGCATTTTACAAATCAACTACATAATTCTGATTTATCGCAATTCCTCCAGGCAATGAAAGAAAAATAGATAAAACATCAATACTTGTGAATTTTGTTATAAAATACTTTTAATAAAGTCAATAGTTAACGAAATATTAAATAAAATAAATATATCAGCAGGATAATTAATAATAAGATTTGATAAAATAACAGAATAATTGGATTTTACATCAAACATTTTAAGTTTTGTATTTAATTAAAGTCATAATTAAAACATTTTATTTACAAACCAAATTAAGAAATAGTTAAACTAAATAACATTAAACTTTTTGTCAAAGTAAGTGTTCGATATGTCCACCATTTTCTTTAATTAATATATTAATATATTCCATAAAATATCTCTATAATAGCATCATTGGTTCTAAAGAAACTGCTGCCGTATTTATTATAGTTGTTTGAAGTATAACAATAAGTAATTTTTTGAAATTCTTATGAATTAAATAATTATATTATTATCTCACCACAAGAATATGAATACCCAGAACAATCCAATGTTCAGGAAAGTTGTATTTAAATACTGTCTCATTCCGCTTTCTCTATAATGTAGTGGTGTACCATCTTGTAGAAACCACATATTTCGCCTTAAGTTTGATGACAATTCTTCCAATAAATCAATAAAATCATTTTATAACAAATGTAAATAAATCTCACCACTCAAATTGAAAGGTAATCCGCACATCCGTAAAATATCATTCAAAATTATTCAAATCATATTTAAAATGCATGTCCTATGATTTGGAATCATTTATAATTAATTTTTACGAATATGCGAATTACTTTGCAATTTGAATGTCGAGATTTACTTACATTTTTTATAAAATAATCTTATTGATTTATTGGAAGAATTGTCATCAAACTTAAGACGAAATATGAGGTTTGCTTGTGGTGAGATATTAATATAATTATTTAATTCATAAAAAATTTCAAAAAATTACTTATTATTATACTTAAAACACTTATAATAAATACTGCAGCAGTTTCTATAGAACCAATGATGCTATTTAATATGAGACAATATTTTATGGAATGTATTGACAAATGAATTAATGAAAATAGTGGACATATTGAACACTTACTTTGACAAAAAGTTTAATGTTATTTACTTTAACTATTTCTTAATTTGGTTTGTAAATAAAATGTTTAAATTATGATTTTAATTTAATACAAAACGTAAAATGTTTGATGTGAAATCCAATTATTCTGTTATTTATCAAATCCTATTATTTTATCCGGCTGATATATTTATTTTATTTAATAATTCGTTAACCTTTAACTTTATTAAAGGTATTGTATACCAAAATTCAGAAGTATTGATGTTTTTCTTTAATTTTCTTTCGTTGCCTGGAGTAATTGCGATAAATCAGAATTATGTAGTTGATTTCTAAAATGCAATTATCTCGAAAAATATTGAGTTTTAAAGATATTAATAGGTATACCTTTTTTTGTTAAAATAATGAATATTTAATATTTTTTATTAAAAATACCGGTTACTTGAAGAGCAAAAAAGTTAAGTGCAAATGTATGCCACATATGTGGTATATGTGGCGCCATCTATAAGCTACATCAAACTGTACATCGAATTATAATTTCTGATATTTAATAGTACCCAGTTGTAAATTGTTATACATAAATGTTAACAAACATAAAAGTTATAGCGAAAAATAAAATTTTAAATTTCCACTTTAACACCCTGTATCTTTCTAAATATCAACATTTTATTAAAGCAACTTGACTTAAATCGTAATATTTTAAAGTGTAGAATCTACGGTTTCTTTTTGTACAATTACTTAAGGACCAACCTGTATATACTTGGCATCAGGACACAAGACAATTAAAATGTTATTGTCTATATTACAGTTGTGCAGATATCTAAAATAAAAATTAAAGACACCGATATATACATGGGTATAGAATCTAGAGCAGATACTTAATAATGCATCTGTAAACCGAGACAAAATTACTTTATGTGCACATAGTAGAATCGCTATAAGGAGCTGCATATGAAGCTTTGGTAAAAGAAGAGCGAACCTACCAATGAATAAATAAGGGTATATTCTGGAGTAATAAACTTAAATAACAAAAACAGATAAAGGAACACGTGTATCACAAATGGCTTACTTTCCAAGAAGTAGACGGCAATATCTTGTAGCATTTCGATTTTCCTTCGAATGTATTAAAGCAGCGAAGAATATTCTCAATCTTTTGCGTCGTTGAGATTGATAACCCAATCTCTTGTGATACCCGCAGTTTGGATCTTACTTTCTCTCATTATTGCCTCTGAAGTTAAATATTTCAGTAGAAAGTGGATCCCTGTATCCTAATTCTCCTGTAACAGTAAACAAAATTGACATACTGCCTTCTTTGGCCACTCTATTGTTTGTACTTGCTAGCGACATTTTCAATAATTTGATCAACTTTTTTGCTATTCCTAAATTTTGTAGAGGTTTATACAAATTTTCCCGATCGATAGAGTCATACGCATGTTTAAAAACAATGAATAGCATGTGGAGTCCTAGATTTTGTTCGTAACTGTTCTTTTGTATAAATTTTAAGGTAAATATTTGATCCGCTGTCAATCTTCCTGCTCTAAACCCTCCTTGGTATTCACCTACTATGCCATTCTCATATTTTGTCAATCTATTATGTCTGATCTTCGCTAATATTTTGTACACAACATACAAGAGCGCTATCTATCTATAATTTTCACAAAGGGTTCAGTCCTTCTTTATTCCTACAAAAAATTGTTTGCGTGTTATTTGTTTACCTGTTTCTTTTAACTTCTTGATAAAAATTGTAATTTTTTTGCTAACGTAATGCTCCTCTATTGTTTTTAATTTTCTTTTAATATTAACTCTTTTTGTTGCCTGAAGATTCTTTTACATTTTTTCCTTTTCTTCTCATGTTCTGTAATTGTTTCTTGGTATTGTTCTGAAGCTATTTTCTTGTGGCATTGTAAATTAATTACTATTTATAACTGGGAATAAGCCACAATTAAAGATAAAAATACGTTTATTGACGTTTCAATTTCCAATTCGGAAATCGTTCTCAAAATACAAACAGTAAATTAAACAAATTTTGTTTTTTGTTACATAGTGAAAAAATTCTTCTAATAATTTAATTTTATCTGACTCATTTATATTGACAATTCAGACATACATTATGCATTTTAAAGTAGACGACTTTAAAATGATATTGCCAATATTGTTGAGTTGCGCTCCTGGGACGACTTTACTTATCAGATAGTTCATTCGATTACATGAAATCAACTTTAACTTGAGAATATCCGTCAGAAAAAATCATAGCATGTAATTCGTCTTTAGAAAGACAAACACATGACATGATGACAGTAAAATTCTCCTGTTAGTGATTCCATAGTAAATTATGAGGGAAAAACCAGGAAAAAAACCTCATAATACTATCCCGACATTGTAAGTATTTGTTCGTGAATTTAGTTTACCTTCAACAAACATCAAAATTCTGATTTTATATGTTACGTTATTTAAAAAACATAAATGATGTATCCTCTATATGTTACTGACTTACTAATACTGGTATTTTCTTATTAATAACTTCCTCTTTCAATATTGGTAACCAGATCCTACTACATTCTGCCGAGGAATTTGCGACACAATTGGCCTCATTTAGCATAATTAGAGCCGCTTCTTTGATTTTTCTTTTTTTACCATCCGTTTCTTTTAGGACTATATTTGAATTATTCCATTGAACCCTATGTTCATTATCCCATGCGTGTTTACATATTTGAGATCTATCAAATTCTCTATTTTTAATATAAGATTGATATTCACTTATTCTAACATTTAATGGCCTTGATGATTCACCTAAATAAAACTGATCGCATTCACAAGGTATTTTATAAATGCAATTCTTTGTCCTTTCTTGTTCATTATTAGGTTTGGTTTTGGACAAAATAGATCTCAACGTGTTTGTTGTTTTGAATGTTGTTGAAATGTTGAATTTATTTCCTATCCTTTTAAGTTTTTCTGATAATCCTTTTATGTACGGTATTGTTATTTTCCTTATATTATTCCTTGTGTATGCTGTAGGATCTCGTTCTAAGTTGTTCTGTTCTATTCGATCGATTGTTGAAAATTCCTTATTTATAAACGATAAAGGATAATCATTTTTTAATAAAACAGATGTTAACAAATGTTTCTCCCCCAAGAACGAATTTTCGTTAGAACAAGTAATTTTGGCTCTATCGTATAAGGATTTAACTATTCCCTTTTTTACATTAATATTGTGATTTGATTTGAAATTTAAATATCTATTGGTGTGTGTTGGTTTTCTATACACCTGAGTCTCATATCCAGTATCGTTCTTAGAGATTAAAACATCTAGGAAAGGTAGAGTGTTATTATATTCCTTTTCCATGGTAAATATTATTGTCTCTTCTTTATCGTTTATATCGTTTAGGAATGTGTAAAACAATTCTGATCCATGAGGTCATATTGAGAATACATCATCTACATACCTCCACCATACTGTGGGTTTGAAATTTTGTTTAGAAATGATATTTGTTTCAAAATCTTCCATAAATATATCGGCTAAGAATGGAGATAAACTAGAGCCCATTGCTAGACCAAAATTTTGTTTATAGAATTCATTATTTAGTTGAAAATATGTATTATCAGTACATAATATTAGTAACTCCATTATAGCCGATATGTTTAGTCTTGTTCTAGTTGCCAATGAATCATCACTCTCTAATTTTGTCTTGACTATACTTAAAGTCTTATTTAATGGCACATTCGTAAATAAACTATTTATGTCAAAACTTACCAAAGTATTATTTGAATTAAATTCAATATTTGATAATTTATTTAAAAAATGTTGTGTATTTTTTATGAATGTGTCATTTTTATTTGTATAAGGTTTTAAAATATTTAATAAAAATTTTGATAGTTCACTACAAGGAGAATTCATGGTACTACAAATGGGTCTAAGTGGTATATTCGTTTTTATGAATTTTAGGTACTCCATAAAAATGAGGAGTCTTACTGTAATGAGGTGTAATTAATCCTCTCTGATAACTTGTTAAAACATCTTTAAACTTGAATAAAGTTCTATATATTTTCTATATATTTTTATAATTTATAATAAATTCAACATTTCAACAACATTCAAAACAACTAACACGTTGAGATCTATTTTGTCCAAAACCAAACCTAATAATGAACAAGAAAGGACAAAGAATTGCATTTATAAAATACCTTGTGAATGCGATCAGTTTTATTTAGGTGAATCATCAAGGCCATTAAATGTTAGAATAAGTGAACATCAATCTTATATTAAAAATAGAGAATTTGATAGATCTCAAATATGTAAACACGCATGGGATAATGAACATAGGGTTCAATGGAATAATTCAAATATAGTCCTAAAAGAAACGGATGGTAAAAAAAGAAAAATCAAAGAAGCGGCTCTAATTATGCTAAATGAGGCCAATTGTGTCGCAAATTCCTCGGCAGAATGTAGTAGGATCTGGTTACCAATATTGAAAGAGGAAGTTATTAATAAGAAAATACCAGTATTAGTAAGTCAGTAACATATAGAGGATACATCATTTATGTTTTTTAAATAACGTAACATATAAAATCAGAATTTTGATGTTTGTTGAAGGTAAACTAAATTCACGAACAAATACTTACAATGTCGGGATAGTATTATGAGGTTTTTTCCTGGTTTTTCCCTCACAATTTACTATGGAATCACTAACAGGAGAATTTTACTGTCATCATGTCATGTGTTTGTCTTTCTAAAGACGAATTACATGCTATGATTTTTTCTGACGGATATTCTCAAGTTAAAGTTGATTTCATGTAATCGAATGAACTATCTTATAAGTAAAGTCGTCCCAGGAGCGCAACTCAACAATATTGGCAATATCATTTTAAAGTCGTCTACTTTAAAATGCATAATGTATGTCTAAATTGTCAATATAAATGAGCAGATAAAATTAAATTATTAGAAGAATTTTTTCACTATGTAACAAAAAACAAAATTTGTTTAATTTACTGTTTGTATTTTGAGAACGATTTCCGAATTGGAAATTGAAACGTCAATAAACGTATTTTTATCTTTAATTGTGGCTTATTCCCAGTTATAAATAGTAATTAATTGTTTCTTGGGTTCTATTATTGTCTTTTTCCAACTTTGCATTATTTCTTAGCATTAGTTTCTTAGCATTCTTTTATATTCCTCGTCGAACCAGTCTTCTTCTTTCTTCGCTCCTGTATTGCCCAAGCAAATATTAGCTGCTTCTGTAATTGATGTTTCGATTTTACTGCATTATTTTCCAATATATTATTACAAGACATTCAATTGTCTTTCTCTAAACTTGCGTTTATCTTATTTTCTAAACTCTTTGGAACTTGTTAGTCCTTAAGTAAGGCCACGTTATATCTCTTTCTATCTTTTAAAATATTAAGTTTTGCAGGTAGATCTTGTTTAAGTTTGACTATTACCAATATATGATCACTAATGGCATCTGCACCTCTATAACTTCGGCAATCTCTAATAGCTCTGGCATATTTATTTTCTATTATTATGTGATCGATTTGGTTTTTACTCTGCCCATCTGGGGATATCCACGTTACTTTATATATATTTTTTATAGTCGAATCGTGTACTGATTACCTTCATTTTATTCTCCATTGCAAACCGATCAATTTTATTCCGTTCTGGTTACTTTCTTGATGTAAATTTTTTCCTCCTGTTATGTTATATGCCTATAAAGTTCTTCCCTACCGACTTTCGCATTTAAATCTCCCAGTTAGGCTTTCTATACTTTCCTCGTAACCTTAAGTAACATATTCTGTCTGAGATGGGTTTAAAATCTCACACCAATCTTTTGATTCTATTATTTACCAAAAAACTAACACCAAAGTAACTGTTAACTCCTTCACTTTTAAAGAAAGTGCTCTTCCATATTTCTACAACGTCCTTGCTAGCACGTCTAATCTATATTTTCTCATGATATTTGTTAAATCTTTTTAGTGCTTCTATTTCACATGCACTTCTGACGTTCCACGTTCCTATTTTCAGCTCATTTCTTCTTTGTTCTTCAATCCCTTAAATATTTGTTCCCCATTTATGTCATCCATGTATCTTTTCTTAGTTTCGAAAGGCGGACTTGTTTTTCCTTTGAGGGTCATATTCCTATAATAATTATGTTTTCTTTCCTTTGGTTTTCCCTTCCATTTTTTGCTTTTCCAGAATCATTAGCCTCTAGTCCATTTATCATAGCCGTGTCCATTTCCTATAATCCGACAGCGTATTTACAAACTGTTAGTTTTTTTCTTTATGTTTATCTTTGCCAGGTTCGGATAATTTATTACGTTGTTCATCCCATATGCATGCTTGCTCATTTACAATCATTTTCTTGTACCCGATTTTCACATTATTTCCCTAATTCCTTTCTTCTTTCACCATTTTCTTCCCGTAGAGTCTTTTATTTTTTGTAAGATCATTATTAATAAAAATAGGGTCTTTGCATTGATTTAACTTGCTTTTATTTTGTAGAATATTTATTTTATCAGCCACGTTCTCTGCTTCTAATACGCAAACTTTTTTTCCTATTTACCCGGCACTTCTGAATTGGATAGGTAATTCTAATTACTTCAGTATAAAGTTCGCTATTAACTCCTTCAGTTTTTTATCATCATTTGTTTCCATAATTAAGCCAGATATAAGGTTTTTCTTAAAGACCTTCATAAACGTTACAAAATAATATGTTTTTAAATATTTATAACCAAGAAACTTGTGATAAAAGGAAAAAAAAAAGAAAATAAAAAATAAAAAAAAAGAAATACATCACACCAACATACAAAAACTGGTATAGGCAAATTTTTCGGACAACACAAATTGGAATTGCAATATATTTTTCACAATATTTTCTTCTCAAACGATTGTGGAATTCAAATAAGATATATTATCTTTAAGTGTATAATTAATTACAAGTATTGTATTAGCATTTTATCTTTTTCTGATAAATTAAGAATTTTCCTATAAATACAGATTTCCCTAGTTAAAATTTTATACAATTTGTACGTGCTACAAATACTATGTTAAAAATATTAATTGTGGCGCTAGTCCTTTGGGCTGGTGTCAGTTGCGATAATGGTAAGACATCATTAATATTATTTTAAGATAATCGCAAATATTTTATTCATATATTGCCATGTATAAGTTACAAACGTTTAAAATTATTTATATTTTATTTAATTTTATTATTATTACTGATTACTGATTCTAGAACCTAATTTTTTTCAGATGTCAACAATGAATTAAGTGACAGTATTTTATCTGGTTCTGAAGATATTAAAATATTATTTCCACACTTGACAGACTTCAGACCAACAGGACCACCACCACCATCTAGTAAACCGCCAGGACCACCGAAGCCTCCAAGTCCAAGTGACATACCAGAGGCCCTACTTAGCAAACGTCCCAGACCAACACAGCCACCACCAAGTAAACGTCCCGGGCCACCAGGACCTCCACCAAGCAGACGCCCCAGGCCACCTGGCCCTCCACCAAGCAAACGTCCCGGACCACCCGGACCACCACCCAGCAGACGTCCTAGACCACCAGGCCCTCCACCTAGCAAACGTCCCGGACCACCCGGACCTCCACCAAGCAGACGTCCAAGACCACCAGGTCCTCCGCCAAGCAAACGTCCCGGACCACCCGGACCTCCACCAAGCAGACGTCCTAGACCACCCGGTCCTCCACCAAGCAGACGCCCAAGACCACCAGGCCCTCCACCAAGCAAACGTCCAGGACCACCTGGACCTCCACCAAGCAGACGTCCTAGACCACCAAGTCCTCCACCAAGCAAACGTCCTGGACCACCTGGACCTCCACCAAGCAGACGTCCTAGACCACCAGGCCCTCCGCCAAGCAAACGTCCAGGACCACCTGGACCTCCCCCAAGCAGACGTCCCAGACCACCAGGTCCTCCACCAAGCAAACGTCCAGGACCACCTGGACCTCCACCAAGCAGACGTCCTAGACCACCAGGCCCTCCACCAAGCAAACGTCCTGGACCCCCCGGACCTCCACCAAGCAGACGTCCTAGACCACCAGGCCCTCCACCAAGCAAACGTCCTGGACCCACCACCTCCACCAAGCAGACGTCCTAGACCACCAGGCCCTCCACCAAGCAAACGTCCTGGCCACCACCTCCACCAAGCAGACGTCCTAGACCACCAGGCCCTCCACCAAGCAAACGTCCTGGGCCACCACCTCCACCAAGCAGACGTCCTAGACCACCAGGCCCTCCTCCAAGCAAACGTCCCGGACCACCTGGTCCTCCACCGAGCAGACGTCCTAGACCACCAGGTCCTCCACCTAGTAGACGTCCCGGGCCACCCGGACCTCCACCAAGCAGACGTCCTAGACCACCAAGTCCTCCACCAAGCAAACGCCCGGACCTGGACCTCCACCAAGCAGACGTCCTAGCTCTTAGTTCCTAAATTCAACAAAATAAAACTTAACTTATTTATTTTAACTTGACATTTTTTATTTCTTTCTTCCGTAATAACAAAAACTTTACCTTTTGAATAAAAAACCCATTAATTTACAAATTCATTTTAGTCTTTATCTGAATTATTCACGATTTGTAATATGTCTAAACGAGCTCTGCGAGATTGGCAGCTCATTGATCGAATTTAGTGAAAATAATTATAACGTCTGAAAGGTCACGGTTTGGTCACACATCTTCAGTTGGGTATAGAATTTGGTCAGTTGTGGTTAATTTTTCACATTTTAAAGGACAAAAAATAAGTTGGCATCTCATCGACAGAAATCTATAAAACAAATGACTGCATTGGATAGTGAATAAAACGCTGACAAATGGTCACATATTTATATTGAACATTTTGTTTTTGTCATGAAAATAATTAATAACCTTATCACGCACGCGCAGTCCAATTAAAATTTTAAAAATTTCAGAATTCTAGTTCCTTATCGGATTAAAAATGTTAAATATACCAGGAAAACAGTGTCTGCCTGCGTTTTGCTAAATCACCATGTTACAGCTAGTATTTCTGAAATATAATTATACCACTCGAAAAGTCACAAATTGATCTCCAATTGTCAGTCATTTTCAAAGATTAGTGAATCCTAGGTAATTTTTTATTAAGTATTGAAACATTTTTAAGGACAAGATCATGTTATCTTCTCATTCAAATTTTACAAATATTACAGGACACCAAACCATACAGTGTTTCGCGATTTTGAATAAGTAATGAATTATAAGTTTTCACCTAGAAACATTCTTTGGATTTCAATCACAGAAAGCGGTTATAGTAAAATTTATTTGTATACAATATAACAGTTGTTAGTAATAATAAGAATTATAATATATTTTTTTGCTTTGGGTATTGGGATGCGATTAATACTTCTAATAACTTCTAATACTAATACTAATGCGGTTTGGCAAATACGCGTCGTAACACACATGTTTTTTCTCGTCTTATATCATTGTTATATTATCTTTATGTATATTATATATAGAATACAAAATTTGTGATTCTTAACTCTGATCTGATTTGTATGCAACCATTTTATTTATTCCTTTATTATAACCAACGTAAGAAAAATATTATTTAGGTACTTAGACGCACAAATTCATAACAGTTGTAAAAGTAACTTTAAAACTAGTGATGCTAGTTATGCTATGAAAGGTTGCATTGTATATCCTTTGATTAGCTGATCTGTTTACATCAAAACTATTTTTGTGCAATTTTGGGATACCAATTTCATAGTTGCCAACAAAGGAAATATATCAAACATTAACTTTAGACATTTCACTTATTTCACATCATGAATATTAGTTTTTTGGAATACCTCGTTTGTCCATACATATTCACGATGTTTATTTACTCACATTGTAATAATCGCATTGGTTTTCTATTATTCACCATATGTTTTAAAATATACACATATAAAGAATATAAAAAAATATACAATTTTGTTTTAAACTTCTTCATATGCAAGCGAGGTTTGATAATTAAACTGAAACCTAGAAAATAAGGTAGTTTTGTATAATAAGAAAATTATTGCTAAATTACTGTCTATGCCTTTAATTAGGATTGTATTCATAATCTAAACTGTCTAAACGTCCGTCCGCGTCCGTCTAATAGGCCAGAACCGATAATTTTTGAGACCAAAACAAAAAAATACATATCAAAAGGAAGAAATAAAGGTAAAAAATATAACAAAACTTAAAGAGAAAATAGTTGTGTGATCTAAGAGCGATCGTTAAGTGGAAGTGGATAAGTTTTTTGTCATAAAAAATGGTTTATCACGATTTCCGACAAAACTAGAACTTCAACGGAAAAAAGTTAAATGGCAAAATTGTAGGTAATACAAAGATATACAACTTTTATATTTACACTTTTTCACATAATCGCAAAATTCAAATAACTAAGTTCTTGGTTTTCATTTTTATCTTGTTTTTATGAAATGTTTAGAAGTAGTTTTACAGAGAATATTTGTCGCATCTTTCTTTTACAACGCAACCTGGTATTGATAAATTGGGAACTTTGTTGGAATCTGCAATGTTGTGTGGAGAAAATGTTGCTTAACCGAAGGCCGTAATAATGGAATTAGTTAACGATTATTCTCAACTACATGCACATCCAAAAAAATTATGTTAAAATCAAATAGTACAATAATTTTTATACAATTAATGGGATACAGGTTTATATTTAAATATAAACAAAATAGTCATTGATCAAAACACCGGTTTCTCATTTCTATCTAAAGTTCCAATGTTTTAACTGGGATGTTTGATGCAACGTTAAATGCGGAGGCTGAAGATCTAAATCATTTAAATATTTTTTTGAATAACTTCGGTTGATATATAACGGTATTTGCTTTTCTATATACAAACATAATATGTAAACAGATACAAGAGCAACTTTTTTATTAGAGAATTTTAAAAAACATATTGTCACCTATTGTTTTTTAAATAACTAACTATGTATTTATATTTATTTAAATAAAGACTTTTGACAGAGTCGAACATTGGGCAGTGAAAAGTTCTTTGATTAAGAGCAGAATTGACCACAAATATACGGAACTAATAGCCAATATATATAAGGAAGCCAAAACAACAATTAAAGTATATAAAAGAACAAAATCAATACAAATAAATTGAGGCGTGAGACAGGGTGATACAATATCACCGAAACTTTTCAATCAGGCTCTTGAAGATACTTTTAAAAGATTAGAATAGAAAGAAAAAGGTATAAAAATTTGTGGACAACGCTTGAACCATCTAAGGTACGCATATGATATCGTATGGATAACCGATAAAAAAGAAGAATTATTTGAAATAATGAAAGAACTGCACGTAGAAGCTGGAAAGATATGAATTACAGTAAGATCAAAACCATAACAAATACAGATGAAGACATCACAATGAGAATCGGACAAGATGAAATAGAACAAGTTCAGGATTATATATATCTTGGTCAAACTATAAAACTTAACAAAGAAAACCAAACAGCAGAGATAAAGAGACGAGTTAGACTGACATGGGCGGCATTTGGCAAACTAAGCTACATTCCACAGCATCTTAAGACCAAAGTATACAATCAATGCGTACTCCCTGTTCTTACTTATGGTTCCCAAACGTGGACATTTACAAAAGCAAACATGGACAAAATCATAAAAACCCAAAGAGCAATGGAAAGACAAATGTTGCACATAAGACTAATGGATAAAAAGAGAAACGAGTTAATAAGAGAGAAAACAAAAGTGAGGGATGTTAGACAAGAAGTTGCAAAATTGAAATGGATATTTGCCGGACACAATATAAGACAAAAGAAGACCGATGGAACAAAATTCTTATAAGTTGGAGACCGTGGGAATATAAACGAAGTAGAGGAAGGCCCCAAATGAGATAGGCAGATGATGTCAAGAAGCACGTGGGCTCTGTATGGGTGGATGACTGTAGCGACAGACAGAAGAATGGAAAAGGATTGGGGAGGCCTATGTCCAAAGATGGACCGAAGAAGGCTAATAGAAAGAAATAAAGTTATTGCTTAAATTTTCTGTTTTATTTTATAATCACAAGTAATATTTTATAAAAGTAATATATTTGAACAGTT